TGCTTACCGTCTCATGGCAGATTCTGCGACAGCGTTGAGCACGTCTCCGTTGTTCATGGATGCCTTGGAGTAGGCCCACAACGTATTCGACAACTGCTGGGGCTGCACGATACAAGACAAGGAGCAAGTAATTAATGGCGAGTGTCATTGTGTTGTGTGTCTTGCCTCGAAGTCATCCGCCCGTTCCATGACCACGCGGATGCTCGACCTGAACAGACCCTGGGCAGGGTACGCAGTCTGACACACACGCACACACACACACACACACACAGACAGACACATGTGCGACAGAGAATGGAGCCCTGCTCCCTTTCATTGTTTGTGTGTGACCGCCTCCGACCTTGGCGAACGCCCAGAGTGTCATGGACAAGTTGAGCGGCTCGAACTCCTCCAAACGGCGCAGCACCTCATCCATCACACAACTGACCACACAAAACGGCCAGCCACACCAACACATACACACAGGACGGGCCTGCTCGCTACTCCCCCTCCCTCTCTCTTGCCCCATGCGATGCGCGAGTCACTGACTTGAAGATCTGGGGTTCGTTGCATCCGAGTTTGGCGATTGACCACACGAGGTTGGAGAGCTCCTGTGGCTTGAGTGGTATGAGGATGAGCGCGGCCAGGAAGGTGTCGCTCTCGAGCTCCTTGATGGGGCTGCCGGGCCCCTGGGGCTCGTCCTTGCCCTCCTTGACCAGCCGGCTCACCACCAACAACTTCTGCACACGCTCAACCAAACGCCGGAATCGACGGTCCTACGAATCGAATGCACACACACCGACAGACACACGCGCACAAGAAACCTCCTTCCTGTGTGAGTGAGCTGCGGGCCGTGTTCTGTTCTGTTCTCGTCTTTTGTGGCTGGGCTGGCAAGGCAGACCTTCTTGACATTGAGCTGCCGCATCTGAGGGGTCCGGGTGGCGACACTGATAAGAGGACAGACACGGCGAGGCAAGGCACGTATGTTGGCACTTGGTGTAGTTGGTGACGGTGATGATGTGATGTCCGCCTGCCAGGCAGGCTGGCTGCGCACCGGTGCATGGCGGTGACCATGTTGACCGTGTTGAATTCCATCAGGTGGGCGTCCACTATCCGCAACGTCGCCTCAGTCGTCGTGGAACGACACAACATACTGAATGAACGCCGCCACACACACAGAGATGCAGGGGGGGAGAGAAGATAATCCGGTGAAATCACCTCCCTGTAGGTCTTTTCTTTGTTTCCTCCCTTAGCTGTGTGGACAAACGAACCGATTGTATTGGTAGTGTTGTTCGGTGGTTCCCCTGTTGAAGTCCACCCCGCTCCTCTCCACCCCGTTGCCCCGCCGGGCAGCACGGTCGCTGCCGCTGCGGCCGCCGGCATCCTCTACACAGCAACGAAACAACGGCGATGACGCCGCACTGTTGCTATGGTTATGACTGCTCCCTGCAAGTGCATCCAGCCACACGTGACCCCGGGCATCAGACAGTGCACATCTGCAAGTTCCGGTTGTTTTGATCTCCTTTTGTCTGTTGGGCCCACGGGATGTGTTGGTATCACGTCTGAGGGGCGGCCAGTCCTCACAATCATCATCCACACGTCGCTGCATTACTGGATCTGACACACAGCCAGAGCCCCCACGCACAGAAAGCCCCATTTTCCGTCGGGTCTCGCACGGTTTCGTCCGTCAGTCCATCGCAGGGCCCGCTCACCTGGTCAGAATGGTGCACATGCGCGCATTGGGTTGCGCGTTGCAATGGCCGCGAGGGCGCTGGGCTTCAAAAGGACACGCAGACCGGCTGGCAGAGGTGAAGATGTGGCTACGATGAATGGGCTGGCTCGGGAAGACGGAGAAGTACGATGGTGAGGAATGCACCTGAAGATTGTCTCAACCCCCCCAAGCTCGCAGTTTGAATGGGAAGGGATTGCAGGGCTGGCCTTGCATGTGTTGTTGTTGTGTATTTGGATCGTGGGTGTGCCATGAATCTGTGCCACAGACACCACACCCTGTTACGGTTGTTCATAGCTGAGACATGATCGAAGGAAGGCGTTGTGAGTCAAGAAATGCCACACACACGCTCTTACACACACCACACACACACGCGCACAGCGGGGGGTGGAAAGGTCGGCGAGTGAATGGCTCGAGTACTCGCTGGCACTGCATATAACTCATGGTATTATGTGTCTGGATAGTCTTCACGACATGACAGACAGACGTCATTTCACCCCACGCACACGAGACGGCTTACATCTGCCACAACGGACCGATTAATTGCACAGCTGGGCACACACTTATAAAGACACCAACACAGACGGCTCTCGAGATCTGAGCACAATGCCGTCTGTTCCATGAGCCTGTCGCTATATCGGTCAGTTAGTCCCAGTCCTCATCTGGCCGCTCAACGATCACGCTCTTGGCCTTCCGCGGAGCACCGAGCTGACACACATGTAGAGAGAGAGACAGAAAGACAGACAGAACCCACACCGTTCAACGTGTGTCTTGTGGTCCCTCCGCTCCTTTCGCACCTCGTGTCGGACGATTCTCTCTGTGGCTTCACGATCCACCACGAGCCGGTACTGATGCTCATCCTGCAGCCGTCCCACACACAGACAGACAGCAACAACAAAAACTACCTGTTTCTTCTACTTCTTATAGCTATGGCTGACCACTTGTTCGTCGTCGACGTCGTCCACTAGGTGGGCGTCGGCCCCCTCAAAGCCGCCCAGATCAGTCAGCTCGGCGCCAGCCATCGCCTCCTCGGCCTCTGTCTCAGCGCGCATCTGCTTGTGCAGCTCTGCCATCCCTGCAACCACAGTACATCCATCCATCCCATGAATCCATGTCCCCTGCAGTGTGTGTTGTGGGTGTTGTGGGTGTTGTGGGTGTTGACGTACGCTCTTTGTCGTTTTTGAGTAGTTCCTTGTAGGTGTGTTGGTAGGGCGGTACGGGCACGAGGACGAAGTCGATGGGCACGGTGGAGGTGGGCAAGATGTATACGGGGATCTTGGAAAACATCTGATGGATGGATGGATGGATGGATGGATGCCGTCGTGTGTGTGATGCGATCTGTCTGATATCTCTGGCTGGCTGACCTACCCTACCTTGATGATTTGGGTGAATTCCTTCTGTTCTGTTGTTTCCTCTCCTCCATCCGCTGCTGCTGCAGCTGCTGGTGGTGGTGACGGTGGCCGTGCACCAAGAGCCAGCTCGGGCAGCTCCCACTCAGCCTCAACCTACACACACACACACGCCCCAGAGTGTGTTTGCCCATGCATACAGCCCACGCAGCGCCCCACCCTGTGTTTGTTGATGAGCTTGTACTTCTTGGGGAACACCGGCACGTTCTGCAAAGAGTGAGTACCCCACCCCATCCCATACCCACCACAACAGGCACAGCACATGGCGCAATGGGGTGGATGAAATGGATGGCCTCTCTGACCTTGAATTTCTCGTATATGTTTGAGGCCTGCATGGACGCCTCGGTCGAGGTGTCGTAGCACAGTCGCTGACCCACACACATGACATGACAGATGACAGACGACACATGACACATGTGTGGTGCAGACAGACGTGAGCCACCCTGGTCAATTGGCTGGTTGATATGTACCTTTTCCTTGCCGAGCTGTGGCACGTAGCACACGACCGACTTGTCCTGGATCAGCATCACTGTGGCTGAGAGGACAGGACAACACGCACACACACACAGGCGAGTGAATAAAGGCATACGAGTGAGTGGATGGAGCATCGTGTGCGATGCGCACCGAGTGAGGTGCATGGCACATCCAGCCCCCGCAGCCATATGCAGAAGAAAGCCTGCAGACAGACAGACAGAGGTCAATCGAATCGATGCAGAAGACAGAGCACAGGAAGGATCGATCCACGTTGTCTGGATTACTGTTACTTGGGTGTACCCTACCCTGTCGCAGTCTTCCTGCGCCTTCTTGGACTGCAGCTTCTTCTCATTGCACAAATCACACTGCTTCTGCAACTCATTCTGAATGAATGACCAACCCACACACGAAGGACCATCCATCCATTCATCCATCCACCAGACGGACAAACAAACAAGGACCCTTTTATCCCACCCCACACCACCAACCTGATCGAAGTCCAGCCCCGCCGCCACAGGGTCCACTCCCGGCGCCAGGCTCGTCGAGAACTTGACCGTGTACGCCGCTCCCTTCTTGTCACCACCAGCCAGGGCGGGGATACTCGCCGCCTTGGCTGCCTCGTTGGCTTCATTCCCCTCCTCCGTCTTGGTCTTCTTGGTGTCGCTGAGTGTGGCCAGGCCGGCCTCCACTGCCAGGGTGGCCGTGAGGAGCCGGTGGACCATCACGTCGGCATAGCGCCTGTAGGGGGGGAGGGAAGGGGGGGAAAAATGGGGGTGGTGGTGTGGTGCGTTGTGTCGTCGGCGGTACCGACCGAATTGGTGAGGTAAAGTGTGTGTAGAGGGGGAAGTGGAGGGCATAGTGGTGGGGGGACTTGCCCGTGCCTGATGTGATTGATGTGTGTGGCCAGCCACATCGATATATTAGCATCATGTGATTGATGCATCTCCTCTCCTCCCTTGTTTGTGCCTGCCTGCCTGCCTGTCTGTTGTGTGTGTGCGTGCAGCTCACCGTAAGTGAAGTACTCGGCGGGCTTCATCGGCTTCATCAGCAGCACCTCCACCGCCTGATGACCGACCGATCGGACACACACATACACATGAGCAGCGCAAGGCGCGCGCGCCTCACATCAGTCTGTCAGCAGCAGCCCTACCGACTAACTGACCTGTGAGACGAAGTATCCGAACTTGAGCCAGACTTTCTTGATGGTCCTGTACACGCCCCCCGCACTGCCGAAGTCAGCTGTGATGCCCAAGCCGCTGACATGACACAGACGCCACACACATACGTCCCCACACGGTGCGGTGTGTATATACATATTATTTCTCCCTCCCCGCCTGTGTGTGCGTGTGTGTGGTCGTGTCATCCATCACAGGTGCCGGCTCACTTACTCTAGGAAGGCCTTCAGCTGCAGCAGCTGTCTCGAGAGAGGCCACGGGTGCCGCCGCAACACACCGCACTCTGACAGACAGAGAGTGAGACAGAGAGACAGAAAGGATTGTGTTGGTGTGGCTTGCCGCCCGCCCATCCACCCGCCGGCATACCTACCTCTGAGAGGGCTTTCGACCAGTTTCTCGGCCACGACGGTGTTGGCCAGCAGCATCAGCTCCTCAATCAGCTCGTGAGATGACGAATGCTGCACTCAACGGATGCAGCCAGGCAGGCAGAGAGACAGGCCACAGAGGGGAGGGAGACCGTGTGTGTGCCATGTATGTGCTTTATGTGTATGTGTTGACTGGCTGGGCTGGGCGGGTGGCTTACGCTTTCCACGTCGTAGCTGGTGGGCACTTTGGTGTCGTAGTCGACGGTGAAGCGGATCTTGGTCTTGTTGAGGGCCAGGGAGCCATCCTGACAAGATAGATCCATGACACACACACACACACACACATACAGCCATACATCCCAACCATATAAGGTGCCTTGGTTTGACGTGGCCTACCTTGAACCGTCTCTTGCGAATCTTCTGTGTGAGGTCCTCCAGCACACGCAGGTCGACACAGCACGCCTCGAAGGAGTGGCCTGCATTGCATGCCAATTAAATGATTGGTTCCATCCACATTTATGAGGTGTGTGTGCCCTCTGACCAACCGTTGTACACTTCAGGTTTCGGCTCCAGTTCGTTGCCGTCGAGGATGACCTGCACCTGGTCGTAGTTCCAGCGGCAGCAGCTGCGGATCACCTGCAGTGCATTGCACCACATTGGTCGGACAGGATAGATAGCTACGAGACGGTGGTGGGTTAATCCATCCCTCCACACCATACGTGGGTGGCATGGTGGTAGTTATGTTACCGATTTGAAGAATTTGGGCTTGAACGACTCCACCCTTGTGCCGTCCTCGTGCAGCCTGAAGATGGCCGTGTACGTCAGCTTCTCCTCTCGGGGGTTCAAACTGACCAAATGCAATCAACGCACAGACACACATACACACCGGTGGGCGTTGGGTTGGGTGATGGTTTCAAGCCCAGCCAGAGCACAGACCAGACCTGCAGAGGTCACTGCAGAGCTCCCGCGGCAGCATGTGGTATGCCCGGTGCGTCAGATAGCTGCAATGCACACACAACCACCATCCCTGTGTGTGGTGTGTGTGTGCTAGGTGGTCACTGACACAGTGGTGCATCTCCAGGCGGCCTCGGAGTCGATCTTGTGTCCCTTCCACACAAAGTGGCTGACGTCGGCGATGTGCACCCCGATCTCGAACTGAGGTGGGCTGGTCGAATCTACACACACAATGTAATGTGCACATTGCATCGGACACACACATACGTGTAAATGCGTGTGGCATTTGTCTGTCTGTCTCGCCCTCCTCTCTCTGTCTTCACCGACCGTCTCTGACGATGTGTATGGCGTCGTCGAGGTCGCGGGCGGTCGCTGGGTCGATCGTCATGATGCGCGCCTCTGCATACAAACACACACCGACAGACACGCATGGCCTGGCCGTGTGTAGGGGTGTGTGCGCAGTGGACTGTGTCGCCCGGCCCGCTGGGTCACGTCACTGACCTCTGAGATCGACACGCCGATTGACTTCCGCCTCTGCGCGCAGGCCATCCATAGGGAGATTTATGCACTGCACCATCCCTCTCTCTGTGTGTGCCCCACCCACCGCACCGTGTGTGGCTTTGGCCCACTCCAGCACCCGTTTCGTCTCCTCGGCAACCTCGTCGCTGAACTCGTCCATGTGGTCCTCGAGCTCGGCCTCCATCATGCACAACTGACACACCACAATAGACACACACACACACACACAACGACACCGTCGCTGCGTCTGTCCCGTGAAGCGTAGCGTACCCGTGCTTCGGTCTCGATTTCGCCGGCGTTGCCAATGGGTCCGCCGACGATTCGCCCCTTTGGTAAAGGGGCGTTTTCCTCCCACTTGTCGATTTGCACGGGCCAGAGGAGGGTGCCGACGATCTTGCCGGGGACCTGCAGCCACTGGCGGACCTCCGGCGCCTGCTGGATCTCCTTGATCGGCAGCAGCATCCAGGGAACCCTCTTGTCTGGTGGGTGGACCACGTGGAGTGGAAGAGATAGACACGTACGAATGGATGTGATGTGATGTGATGTGATTGATGTGCACAGGTCTGTCTGTCTGTGTTTGTGTGTCTGCTTGTGAGAGTGTTGCCTCTTGGCTCTGTGGCCTGGCCTGCCTACCCATGGGGACGGCCTTGATCATCTTGTCGTCCAAAGTGATCTCATCGTCGGGCGGCGACGGTTCAGCCGAGTCCTGGATGAAGAATGCATACCAACATCAATTCGTTGTCCATGCACAGACAGAGACGGCCGGGCCCAGTACGTAGGCCCCACCCACCGTCCCACCGGCTCACTCACCCCTTGTTTCTTCATGCGGTTGGCCTTTAGTGTCGCCACGTATACACGATTCGTGCCTGTAACACCGGAGAGACCAACAGGCATCGTGACACGCATCCCTCTCCGGCCATCTCATCTCGTTGTCTTCTCTCTCACCGGACAAGTCCTCAATGTAGACGACCTTGCCCGTCGGATGCAGCTCCCCGCCCGAGTCATTCTCATCAGCCGCACTCGAGGGCTCCCGTGAGGGCACTTGTGGGGAGGGCACGTCCACTCCCGCCTGAGCGGCGCTGGCGAGGGTCTCCTCGACCGTTTTGTACTTGTCGCTCACACGCACCCACTTGGACCGATCGTACAGCTGATGATGACATGGCACAGACAGGTGAAGCCAAGCAGCGATACAGACAGACAGAGAGAATGAGATGAGTGGATGGGGCTTAGGCTAGGCGCGGAGGCTGGTCTGGTGTGGTGTCTTCACCTACCTCGATGTACACGATGTCGCCATTCACCGCCCGGTTGCGGTCGCTGCGGCCTGAGAGAAGAGAACCAGGGAGGAAGGGAGGGATGGATGGAAGAAAGAAAGATGCATATGGCCGGCCCATGAGAGGGGGATGTCTAGGTTTAGATGCCTGCCTGCCTACTGACTGACCTTTGATGAAGATGTCTGGCAGGTCGGGGTCCTCGTCCGCATGGACGTACGCATCATCGCTCTTGCCAGCATTCACGCGCAACGCACCCTGAAAGCATCCCATCCATCCCACACCACCACACACACTATGAATGCACCACCGATCCCATCCCAGGAATTTCGTCCTCGTTTCCGCCTGACCCTCTTGAGTTTGCCCGCGAGCAGCGCCGCTAGAGCGTCCTCCTGACTCCAGTAAGGCTCATACGGGTTCTTCCTCCCGCAGCCCTGCTGCTGCCTCCTTTCATCCCCATGACTTCCCTGACCCCTCCCCTGACCGAATCCCCTCCCCCGGCCGCCTCGGCCGCTCCCATAGTCGTCCCACGCTGCTTGATACTGCTCGAATGACGGCTGGTTGAAGGCCTGCTGCTGCTGGATGTGTGGGTAGCCTGGGTAGTTGCGCGGCGGGGAGGCGTTGGGCGCTATGCCGCGGCCTCTCGAGTAGGGCTGAGGAGTCCCGGGGCGACGCGGGCCTCCGTGAGGCGGGTACATGGATTGTCGCTGGAAATATCGATACTCCCAGGCAAGATGCACCTGACGCTGGACTCAGATCTGCCAGGAATATCAACGCCACAGAAAGATCGGCATGCGAGCTAAGCTCGCAGATGAAAAGCCAAAGCCTTGTTCACTACCTCCTGAACGATCGCGCTGCAACCCCCCCTCGCATTTCACACCGCACTCCCTCCAACCAACGCTCAGAGAAGTAAGGCCTACCTACCAACCTTTCCCTCTCTCCCGGTGTTGAAGTGCTATCGCGTTCTCCTCTGATCCTCTCCGCGCTAAGCTCATTGTTGAGGAGGACTTTCGAGACCCTCAGCTGAAAGGACCGACCGAAACCCCATCCCACTCTACCAGGTGTGCGCCATTGTCGCTCTCTACATCAGGTG